GTGTTGGTGTCGGTGTCAGTGGTGCCGGGGATGGTGTCGGTGCCGGTGTCGGTGGTGCCGGGGCTGGTGTTGGTGTCGTTGTTGGTGGTGCCGGGGCTGGTGTCGGTGTCGTTGTTGGTGGTGCCGGAGCCGGTGTCGGTGTAGGTGTCGGTGTCGGTGTCGGTGCCTGTGTCTTTGGTGCCGGCGCTGGAGTCGGAGCAGGTGCTGGACGTTTAGGTATGACGGGAATATGTGGACCTATGAGCCTGGGCAGCAACCGGAGGAACTTGAAGAGAAGATTCAGCTGTAGCTGAAAAACACAGTGTTAGCGCAGTGGGTTTAAAAACACACCCCCAAAGGATTGTTTACAACAGCTCGGTTAGATCCTAATGAAAGCGGACAGAGGGACTAAATATGTGACTGGCCTTGCTGGGAGAAAACACTCTCTAGCTGCAGCGAGGAGTGAGCTGGCGAGTGTGTAAGGGAGGGGTGGAGGGGAGACACGCTAAAGAGATTTAAATATGCAGGCGAGTGGAAGTGTACAAGATCTAGTCTTCCTCCTGAACTTCTACTATAAACTCCATCTATTCACTAAACACTAATTCAGTTTTCTAGCAAAATAAAATTGTACCTGTTAAGGAAAATTGGAAGGAAGCGTTACAGTACTTACTTCATCGCTGTCACTGAAACTTCGTTCTTCGCGGTAGTTAGATATCTAAAACAACAGAGATGTATAGTGTGTCAACACTGATGTTTTTTCATTTTCTATATACCGTATATGCATACCTTTTGTAATGTACACATGCTATTTTATCACATACGTATTGACTAATACCTTTGTCAGTTATGATATTTAATGATTAAGTTTAATAGCAGTTGAGCAAACTACTGTACAGTATATCAGTTATCCAAGGAAGAAATAATACTAAATGTAAGTTTTAAGCCATTGGTGTAAATTTCTTCTTTGTCTTCCCGTATAACCTCTGTGCTTCTTATTATCAGTACTGTGTCAAAGAAAAAAAAGTTCTAAACCTAAAAGACAAAAAGATGCAATAACATGAAGTATGTTTAATTTGGTCATTTTTCTTTAAAACAGAGTAGCCCATCTTTAATCTGTCTTAAGTGTTCACTGAGGTGCAGTTCATACAATAACAACAAAAAACATTTTCATGCTGTCCGAAAAAATCAGTGAAAACTTAACAAATTAAAATAAGTTATTGATTAAACAAGCCACACTCATATTTGAATAGAATATAGTTTAGCTTTTTTCTTTGGCTTTCTGTTTTAATACATTTTTATTTCTGTTGGGTATATTCACTACAAACTTAATTATAAACCTATGTTGCATGCTTATGTTTCAATTTCCATTTCGGTGTTCGTCAGTGTGTTTATAAAATAATTGTTGTGTACTGAATATCATGACATCATTACAGAACAAATATTTTTGTAAACCAATTCACAAGAATTCTTCATGAGACTGGGTCTCTTTATATGTGCATTTGTAAGATATAAACTGATCCTGTTTTGTTTTTCTTCCAAAGAATAAAAAATGCTTGACATGTACAATATTGTACAGTATGTATTGGTACTGTACTGTATGTGTATTAAGAATACTCACAGCTCCAGGAAATATCACCAGGAGGATCAATAAGAATAATGAAGCTCTCATCTTGTATTCTCAGAAATTTAGAGCAGTGAACTGTGTCAGTGCGAGTACTGCAAAAGAATGAGTAAAGGTTAATTTTATGCTGAAAAGTAAAAAGAAAAGAGAAAATATTTTGATTGCAGAACTCCACAGCTGAGACTTTCATCATGTATTCTGTTATTAATTCTCCAAACTTTAGATAACCAAATACTTTAAAATATGACTGACACCATCACTGCTTTCTAAAGAAGGTACGTTTTATTTAACAACATCTAGTATTGTTCTAACATAATATAAAGAGAGACATAATATACAAAATTCTTATTTCCCTTTATATTATGAATATTATGTTTTGAAATAATTTACCTTACTTCTTAACAGGTAAAATAAATGCTTCTGATAGAACACTTGAAGACGTTTGATCGTGTGATTTGTCCTGTGTGAATCCTTGAAAGATGACTTTGTGCATCATTTATACTGTGTGCCATAACCAATGGCAAGCCATAAACCTAACAGGAAGGATTAGCAGTAGTTTCAGAAAGAAAACAGTCTGCTGACAATTGTTATTAAAATTGCATTAATATTAATTAATTACACATAACTGAAATTTCCATCAAGTCTCTTCTTGCAAAATTGTGCTCATAGGGAATATTGTGTCATCATGTTAAGCAAGCTTTGTTGTCAGTTAATCCAGAAGGAAATTATTGCTAAGGTTATTTCAAATAAATGAAATGTATAAAAATAAATGTACAGTATATATAATTGATATTTTAGGTGTATGTCTACATCTATACTGGATATATTGCTGTGAAGAATTCTGAACCAAATGTATTTCCAATCATATACAGTATATACAAGTATATACCAGTTTGGATCCACAATCTTTTCAGAAACCTTCATACAGTTTCCTCAAACATTTTTTTTTAATTTAGCAAGAAACAAAGTGGGGTTCCCTAGTTTTAAGACTGCAATGGTCATTTTCCATTTCAAAGTTAATGTCTTTAAAGAAGTTCACCCATTATTATTGTTTTAACAAAAGTTGTACAGTAAAATACACATTCAGTGGGAAACAAGAGAGCATATTCTGAAAGAAGTGTCATTTTCAGTAGCTTAATGAGTAATACATAATCAGACTACAAGTGGTGCATTAAGGCTGAAATTCATCTATTTCCCTACGGGATTAATAAAGTATTATCTATCTATGTCTTGTAAGAGTAATATCAGTACCCACATGTGACTAGGATTCACTAAACAGGGGAAAACAGTTGGAAAAGTGCTGCAGGAGTATGGTACAGAAGGTGTTTTATCAGTCAGGTGCACCTATTCCTTATTCTCCTGCAGATACAGGAATTATTGCTTGAAAATCAAGACCTAAAGAAATCATGATCCCATTGTCCCCTGGGCAGATGCCCACTGACATAGATAAAAGAAGTGGTTGCTTGCGTGGATGGAATCTAGCATTTCTTTGGAGACCACCATGTGTGACTTTTCAATGGCTCCATTCCCTCATCCCACAACACAACCCTGCCAAAACCTGAGGATAAGACCACTGATCACAAACTCTGCCACCTCTTGTGTAATAAAGTTGGGCTTTAGCCATATTCCCATTGTATTGTTTTGAAATCATAAATCAAAACATTTATCCCATCCCGTATTTTTACTTTAAAATCGCATTTAATACATATATCATAACATATTGCATAAGGTATATTGACATTATAAGACATTTTTTTATGATTTATAGAAAAAAAGGCTTACCTGTTATTTTGGTTCAAACACATAAAGTCCTGTCAGGCGATTTGTTGCTCTTGAAGTTAGTAGTCATCTAAATGTATGCATAGCAATTACAGAACTTTAATTGTAAATAAACAATTTGTTTTTATTTCTGTTCAATTAAATTTGTGACTCTATGTCAGGAGGCATTTAGGTTACTCTTAGAATAAGTCTTTAAATATGGAACTGAGAAACAAAGCCTCATTGGAAAATACTCCTAAGACATTCGAGTATCCCTAGTTGTTTTGGTTTTAAGTTACCTACAATTAACCTGTTTTTTTTTTAGTAAAATACAAAATAATAACTACAGGTACGTTTTAAAGAAAAATATCTAGTAAATATCTTAATAATGTCTTGTTTGTGTCAGTGTTATGTTGTGTTTTGCAATAAGGCATTCTTTCATGTTTTGATTGAGGGGCATTTTAAAACAAACAAGGACAAACAAATCGAATGATGCTGTCAGTGAATGCTTTCACAATGATTCTCTTTGCCACTGAATGTGTTGTGCTAATTCCAAATAAGCCATTCCACCACTGTAAACAGAATGTTGTGAAAATTCCCCTTGCAACATTAGATCCATTTCCACACTAAGAGATCATTTATTATGCAACACTCTTCTCAATCATATGTTGGTTGTGATCTTGTTAGGTTTTGCTATGCATGTGCCCAGTTATGGGAAAATCTGCAGGGCAATTATTATATGTGATTATATGTGCACACAATTACTTAATAACGTAAAGAAACAGTACACCATTTCTATGCCTCCCTTTATAGACAGACATATTTCATCCCAAGAGTTTGAAAACTCAAATAAAGCAAAGCCTCCCATAAATGAAGATACACAATATCAGATTTATTATAAAAATAAACATGTTAACATTTCAGATGATAAAATTTCAGAGATGAGATATGCAGAATAAAGTACAGTATATTTGGCATAGTTGGCTCCATTTGTTAAAACATTAAATAATAAATTATAAAGCAGCGTACATTAACAAGAGAATTATGCATTGAGAAGTTTATTGATCATGCATGTCATATGCACATCTAAGCACATTCCCATAATCACTGAAAGGAAAACTGCAACAAGACTGTTGACTATTGATTTTAGGAAGCTGGAATTATTGTTATTTTTAATTCCTGCTGATTTGACAAAGTAAGTGGAAACACTATGTTTTTTATAGAGGGGTTATTTCTATAGAGGAGATCTAGTTATTTTTATAGAGGAAAATAAGACAATTTTTGATCACACGCAGTGAGTGGCTAATGAACTTTTAAAATAAACACACTTACCTTATTAAAGTCCCAGTGCATCTAACAGGGTTTTCAGCATCTGGATAAGATGGGTTAAGTTTAAAGATGATGTACCAGTAGTGGCAGGACTGATTACTACTCACACCTGTTGGATAAGGAAGAAAATGTTAATGGTTATGATTCCTAAAATTATCTTATCAACATATATTTTTCAACAATAGATAAAAAAAAACATTTTGTTCAAAAGGTTTTTAAAGAAAAAATATTTTAGATGTTACACAATGATTTATATATTTTAAGAAAATTTCCAAAATACATCTTTGAAAGCTAGTTATTATGGAAAAGTGACAATCTTGGTGACTGGTTTAATTACTTATGGAGAAGACATGGTGGGATCACCTGATTTGATATAAAGCTATGATATATTTTATTGTTGTAAGCATGTTTTTTAAAGCCACATAAGGAAAGGTACAGTACATGCTCTTTTTCGATCTGTTAAAATAATGACATATTCAAACAATGTTTCGTCGTAAAGAATGTCAATCTGGTCATAGCTTTACTTTACAAGGTATTGCATATCTTTCTGCAGAATGTATGAGAAACTAACTAATATAAAGAAAATAATATTTTCTTTAGAAACATAAGTAATAGAATAATGGTAAATTATAAACATGCATTTGAAATAATATACATATACAATATATTCATCTCTAGTATCTCTACAACAGCTTTTATTTGGCTAATCTCTGGAATGATTAACCTTTCATTCACATAGTGAACACTCACTGGAAGAGCAATTCTCAGCCCAATGAGGAGCATCAGAAAGAGAACCTAGAGAACTCGTTTGTTGCGATGTCCCAAGCACCTGCCACAACATAAAAGGGATCATCTTATTACTGCTCCTCTGTGCTGTTCTGCCCTGTTTTAGCGGAGCCAAGCCTTCACAGTCTGATCAGCCTGGTTGCACAGTACATTTCCCATTTGACTATCTTAATCAGCCTGCACGTTGCATTCTCTGTTTCTGTCAACACAGATCGTTCCCTGTCTGGCTGTCTTCGTCAGCCTGCACAATGTAACCCCATTCTCTCATCTCTCCTCCTGCCTTCACAGGGACCAAGCACATGCATCATCCTGTCCTAAAGATGCAGCTCCCATCATTTAATTTCCACATCATAACACCCATAACCCATTTTGGATCATGCTATAGAACTCCTTATTGGTTGTGAGCTAGCATGCTGTGATTTTCATTTACTGTATGTACACTCTCTTTAGATTATGTGTTCAGTTAATAACTTCTCAATGAAGGCAATGAAGATGCATAGTGAGAAACTATGGTGGAGGAGTGGTGCCATAGATGAAATGTGAAAAAGAAATCAATATCATGTGAAATTCAGTGAGACAGACCATGCTACAACCATGCTACTATGGCTGTAGTCACTCTGTAGTCATTCTGATTGGATGAGCTAAACTAAAAACTACAAGCATTTCATTTTAAATTACCATTGCTGCAAACAAACATTATGTTACATATAGAAACATATAGAAACAATGAATAATTAATATTACTGATAAAGTTACTGCACTGCTTGCAGAGGAAATGAAGACAAACTAATCTTAAGATTTTCAAAATAAAACAATACAAATAAAAACAGTGAATAAAACTTACAAATAATAACAAAGAAAGAACTAAAAAAGCATACCATAAATAAAAAAAAAACATTTTGTCCAATTATTGTGGTAGAATTGTAGCAAAAGTGTGATTTCCCTAAAAAAATAAATATTTGTATTATGCAGACATTTATCAGCTCCAATGCAACTTACAGTATATGACGGTAAGTCATCCTTTAAATGTCATTCAGATCACTATTTGCCCCCTTTTTGTTTTTTTAAACGTCTATTTGCTTTTAAATTAAATGTTTTAAAGCCACTATGTATAATATGTTTTTAGCAATTAGAATCTAAAATAAAATTATCAGTTTGCAGTGTTTGTTATTATTAACAATGGAATTGTCTGACATCCACACACAGTTGTGGTT